ACAATCCTATTTCTAATCTTAATGTTATTAGTCATAATATCAATATACTTATATAAATTATCTAGTATACAGCTCTTAGTTACTCAGAGAAAAGTCTATTTTATCTTAATACTTACTTTCTTTAAGTTAAATAAAAGACAAGTATATATGCTATTCATTAATTAAAAACAACAATAAAATAAAAATAAGGTAGAAAACAATTATTTATTATATGAGTTTAAGATAATTTTAATATTTGAAAGTTAATAATATTTAAATATGAAATAATATAGTTTATTTAATAAGATTTTGTTTATTATAATTAATAACTGATATTTCTAGGAAGGCCAAAAAGATCTGTATTATATTTTATCCAATAGTAGATATTTCCTATTCTTAATGCCTCATAGCATATATGCTTTACTATTATTATATATATACTTTACTATCTAAAGTTTATACTTTCTATATAATATCACTTATATACTTTAAATTTCTTCAGCTAACCCATCATATAGCTGATAGTATATATGCTTTTATTATTATATTTATATAGCCTATAGTATATATACTTTAATTTACTAAGATAATTCTCTAATCTAGTAACAAGCTATATTTTTATTTCCTTCAAACTTCACTAAACTAATACGAATAATAAAATAATAAAAAAAGAAAGTAAATAGTAGTTTTGGGTCTAGAAGCTAGTTTAGATCCTAAAAATATCTGGCAAAAAATAGTCTAAACAAATATTGCTAGTTTGATAAGTTTGTAATTTAGCAGTAATAAACTTTTGATTTGAATATGAATTATAGTAATTCATATCCAAATCAAAAGTTTATCACTACTAGTACTCCTAATTAGATCAGGTCAACTTGAAACCTGACCTAAATTTTTGGGTTAGGTCAGATTTGGGTTAGAAATTTTTGACTCTAAATCTTCAGATTAAATTCAGGTTAGGTTTGGATTAAATATAAACTTAACTCAAACCCAACTTGACTCAACTCAAAACTTAGAGACTCTATATAATTTAGAAATCATACTTTTGGGCCAATTAGCATATAGCTAGTCTAAATTATAAAATTATACTATACCTAAAATTTCTGACTAATTAGTAAAATTGAAGTTAGCTAATCATAATTGATACATAGTTATCTATAATATTTTGAAATTTACTGCTACTTTTTTTAATTTGTGAAATACTTGATAATTTTTTCTTTACTCGAAATATTCTTAATTTGTTTAGTAAATTATCTAACCTTTCAGAAACTATATTACTGTTTTTAAATTGGAGGTCTAAAGACAGTAATATAGGTTAGGTAATTACTAGATAAGGCTAAATATTTTTAGACAGCAGAAAAATTATCAGTGTAGAGATTAGAATCAGTTATAAATTTAAAACCTGAATTGTTTAAATATGATTATGAAAAAATCAATTTATACAAATCAGATTAGTTTAAACTAAATTTAATTCTAATTGTTAGATAAATATTTAGCTAAAAAGAAAAACTTGAAATTACTTTTTTGTTATATTGAATAAATTGTTACTAACATATAATTTCAAAATTTAATAGAAAAAAAAAATACTGAAATAAAACCAAATACTAATTTAAAAACTGTTTGTCAAAGAGTTACAACAGAATTAGAATATTACAAAATGATTTACTATTTAAACAGGTTTAACCCAAAGTTGAAGTTGAATTTCATAATTCAGTTCTAACCTCTACTTCAGGAATTAAGATAATATATATACTGTCATCAATAAAAATCAAGCAAATTGTTTTTATTGAAATTTTTTTGAAACTTTAAATAATAATAACTTAATAATAACTTAATTAAATTTAATATAAAATTGGTTAAATGAATTTCTACAAACTTTAATATTAATTTTAAAAAAATTATTAAAATTTGTTTAAAATTTCAAAAAAATTTACTTAGTTTAATTTCCATTAACAGCAGCTTATATTAGCTTTAAAAATTTCAGATCAGGTTTAGTTAGATCAAGTTTGAGTTGTGTTTAAGTTGGGTTGAAGTGCTAACCTGAAAGTATTTCAACCTGACCTGACCTGAATTTTTAGATCAGATTTAGGTTAGCTATAACCTGACCTGAACTTAACCTGTTTAGAGCATTAATAACTACTGAATCACAAACTTATCAAACTAGCAATATTTGTTTAGCTATTTTTTATCAAATGTTACAGAATTTATGAAAACAGTTATAAAACTAAGTGTAGAAAAAACTGTGTCAACAAAAATTTTACAGCTTTTTTCATAAATTCTAGGATATCTAGCAAAAAATAATCTGAACAAATATACTAGTTTGATAAATTTGTGATTTAGCAGTGATAAACTTTTAATTTGAATATGAATTACAGTAATTCATATTCAAATCAAAAGTTTATCACTACTGAATCACAAATTTATTGAACTGGCAATATTTGTTCAAATTATTTTTTGTCAGATATCCCAGAATTTATGAAAACAGCTGTAAAACTAAGTGCAAGCTGAACTGGGCTACAAAAATAGGTAATTTGCAAGCCCCTACTTCTTATTAATTAAAATCCATAACTCCACATGACTATAACTGATATAAATAAACTGCAGTCCAATTTTGCAACTAAGTTGATCCTTGACTTTTTTAGAGATCCCATACTTATAGGAATAATCAATCTTATACGTAACTCCTATAAGACATATAAGAGCAATAGGAGTTATAAGTCTAAAAGTATTAAAAATCTTATAAGTCTTAAAAGTATTAAAAATCTTAAAAGTCTTATAAGTATTAAAAGTCTTATAAGTATTAAAAGCCTATAAGTATTAAAAGAGCAATAAGTCTTATATGTCTGTTAAGAGTTATAGGAGCTAAAAGATATATAAGACTTATACGCAATCCAATTGTTGTAAAGTCTATATAAGCAGAATATTTCTGCCCTTCAAAAAAGATATCGCTCAGTCGATAAATCTTTTGTCTTCTTAAATAAATTGACTCAACCTTTCTTTACCCAATAAATTCGCTAAACAATTCCAACCTGACCCTTCACTAAGTTAATAAACTTGTACCCGTATAACGTTACGCTGCTTAATTTACTCTTCGGACAAGAGTAAAGTGTCGTTAAATTATTGAGAAAAGAGAACTTGCCCACTGAATCTTGTGTTTGACTATCCTAAGAGAGAGGATAGGTCAGCTTGAAAAGATTAAGGGAAGTTAGAAACTCCAATAACGTTAAGACCAACCACGTGACCGGAGTCCGAACGATAACCGAAGCCTTGGAATCCCCTTTGCCTAATCACTACGCCGTCTTTCGATAGGTTATCATAGAACGTTGCACGAGGATCTTGAAGATTGAGCGACTGACTCGCCGTTTATAAGTGTGACACTATCCACGTTAACTATTGGCACTTATTTGTGTACCGCTCTCCCAAAAAAATAGTAACACTAGTGTGACAATAGAAAACAGAATTTCGTGTTCTAACTAAAAAAATTCCTTACAAAATTTTGATATAAAATATGCCCCTAACTCTAAATCGAACCTGCCCCTAGACATAACTAAATCTAAATAAACCATTTACGTTATACCTAAATTATTGGTGTGCGATATATAAGTTTGTAGCATGGTACAATATTTTGTATTATCAGTTCAATATTCAGTTCAAATCTATATATCCACCTGAACAGACTACTTAACATCCCTAGATTAGACCCAGTTAGTTTGACATATGTAGAGATATTAAACTGGTAAAATTTATTATACTATACAAACTAACTAGTTAAGCCAGCTAGCCACATATAAATTGTATTTGTGTTTCAAAGTAGTTACGTATACTATTTAACATCCCTAGACATATTTGTAGTAATAGACTTGGTAGAATTTTAATGAACTGTAAACGCCGGTGGAAGCTATCAATTTAGTAATGCGGTAATTTCATTAATATCGATTTATAAATACCCTCATAGATTATTTGTTTGTAGTTAAGGATAAATATGAATTTATTAGAAATAATTAAGAGATAACTTAGAATAGATAAAATTCTATTCTTACAGTAATTTGTAGTATTCATAGATATCACGCAACCGCTACGACCATGAACCACTCTAGCAAAGTCTTTTTATAAGATTTATTACTCCGTGAATTCTTAAAGAAGTTCCAATTATTATCAAACAATCGGCTTTATCTTGATCGTGTGCTGCGATTTGGCCAATTTCTAATCCTTTATATGTAAAGCATTACTGCCAGTAGGAATTAAAATGAGTGTCGCTAAGTGAAACCAGAAGTCTAAAAATAGATTATTATTAAATTTATTTTAGACTTCCTGGAGTAATATAGCGATAGATATCAATTGAGTGCGTGAGAATGAAAACCTGGAAACCGATCATAGTAAATCATTAAATCGGTTTCCAGGTTTTCACTCTCACGCACTGAATTGTTTATCATATTGTATAACATGACATGTATTTAGTAAGTTTAGTTTCAGCGAAATGTTTGTCATAACACAGTCATGTTACTATAAATCAAACGTTTGTGTATATAAATATTATTCTAAAATGAATGAATGAATTATAACTAATATGTCAGAAATTTTAAAAAAATGGCTTGAAAATTTATTTATATCAGCACATAAATTTTTATGGTTACAAGAATTATCATTACTTCGAGTAATCAAGTACAGTTACTGTATTTATTTTTGCAACAAGCAACGATAAGGATTGCTAAATTTTTATCTCCGATTTTACACTCAACTCTATTCAAATTGCCTTACGAAGATACGAAGTGTCAATATGAATTTATTTAATTTATTGAATAAATGTATTCATCTACGGGTTACTTTAACAGATAAATATCCATAGATTATAGTAACCCATGGATATTAAGTAAAATATACATCATTTAAGAATAATTAATAATTTGAATAAGGGCATTTTTTCTTATTGCATAAAATTCAATTTCCAATAGTATTATCTTAGAATTTAATTCTGCAAGGTGTCACTCATGTATTTCTCATAATAAAACATTTCCCCGATAACAATGATTGATATTATCATCGATAAACTCAGCTTTACAAACGTTACTGGATATGGCATCGCCGATTATCTTGAGGTTGTAAATGAAAAATAATCGAAACAACTGATACAATATCCTTGGTTCATTTGAGGAAACGTTCTAGAAAATGCTCTTTGCAAAAACTACTTTACTCTTTTCCAATAATGAATTTGGACACAATATTGGTAAAACACTAGAAGATGATAAAAATAATGCTTCAACCAGCTGGTAGATTTTTGGTAGCTACTCATATAATACTTAGAACATTTTATACTTAGAATGATGTAAATTATACTTGTTATCCGAAACGAAACCTACCTGAAACTAGTTTCGGAAAGTACTAATCCGAAACTAGTTTCGGATTTTAGAAAAATTTCCGAAACTACGAAACCCGAAACCCCGAAACTTATAATCCGAAATCTAAAACTATAAAACCTATAATCCGAAACTAAATATTTAATTGATTTTTAAAGATTAATTAAATTATTAGTAAAAATATTAGTTAATTAAACTTAATAATTTATAGTTAAAATTTCAAATAATTGTAATTAGCCGACCAAAACATCGGCTAAGCGGCTTATATTAGATTATTCCGTATGCCAGCAATACTAATTCTTAATTCCGGCCACTAATTCGTGAGCCGGCCTAACCAATTCCAATGCCGGGCCAAACTAATTCTTAATACCGGGCAAACTAATCTTTAATGCCGAGCCTAACTAATTCTTAATGCTGGCCTAACTGATTCTTAATGCCGGCCTAACTGATTCTTAATGCCGGCCTAACTGATTCTTAATGCCGGCTAACTAACTTAATGCCTGGCCTAATTAATTCTTAATACCGGCCAAACTAACTCTTAATGCCTGGCCTAATAAATTAATTCTTAATCTCGGCAAAACTAATTCATAATGTTGGCCTGTTTTAGCCACATTAGCCAGCCGACAATATTTTATCAGCTGGCTTAACCGGCTAAGCCTCGGCTGCTTTAGCCGGCTTAAAACACTAATTTTACGTTACACCATGATACCACATATTAGATATACGATAGTAAAATTAAATTTAATGCTAGAATTTAGTTTCGGGTGAGTTTCGTATTGGATTTTTAGTTATAGAAGAGGTTTTGGGTTTCGGGAGAGGTTTCGGAGTTTCAGAAGAGGTTTCGGGTTTCGGGAGAGGTTTCGAGTTTCGGGAAGGGTTTCTGGTTTCGGGAGAGGTTTCGGAAAGTATAATCCGAAACCCGAAACTTTCAGATTTTGGAAAAAAGGTTTCGGGTAACAAGTATAATGTAAATGACCCTGCAATGATAATTGACAATGTAGGTATATTTAATCAAATGATTATTACAGTATCGAGTAGGGGTCTAGTATACTGGCTATTAGAGGTGTGAACCGTAAACTACAGTTAATACAAATTGTAATGTAAAACTATAGTTAACTGTAGTTTTTAAATAAAGTATTAGTAGCTGTAACCCAACATTTAAAACAAGCATGAAAAAAAACACCCCAGAAAATTTTTAAAATTTTATATGAAATTGGTCCGAATTTCAGCTGTGACAATTAATGTCGGTATATATTATTTAACTTTCCTGATCGCGTTACGTTGCATCTGAACTTGAAATCTTTGGCGCACATTTCAGATGTGCTCGACTATGCTTTTTTTGCTTGAAAATAATCCGAGAAATTTCAAATTTTTAATTTAACTTTTTTATCCAAATTTTTGTTCAAATATTGTTTGATACAAATAAATTTTTGCCAAAATTTCCCACATCTCTGTTGTTACACCAGTTTATGTTGTATAACAAATAAATTTTTAAAAACAGTAATAGATTATCAAAATCAGTCATGAGTCAATCTTATTACTAAAATTTACTAAAAACTTTCTAGAGAAAACATATAAAAATATTTCTTTAGAAACGTTATCATATCAGCCGATTTTGATAAGGAAATCAATTTCCGTAGTGATGCACCTTATTAGACATGTTAGATTGGTGCGCCTTAACCTGGGGAGATTGGATTTCATAATAATGAGATTTTATTAATGATATTAGTGATAAGAAATATAAAAAATATTTTTAAAAAGATTTTTGGTACCACATGGATAATAATTACTTCAACACAAAGTTGGTGCATTTTCATTTTAATAATTTCCTAAATACTTATATATAGGGACAATCAATTAGATATATTATGGAAGTAGGAATAGTAAAGTCAGTCAATTTATAAAATTTCGTAACATTCTTTTTCAAATCATTAAAAAAAAATAATAAATATTTTTCTTGAGTTATTATTTTAAAAATCTCTGTGAATAAAATTGATATCAGATAATCATAGTTTATTTCACTTGTAAATGGAAATGCCAAGTGAAATCCAGAAAGTCTAAAATAGAATTTTTAGACAACAGAATACGGACTTTAAATGTACAGTAATACGCGATCAAAAAACAGTATAATTGATTATTCTAGTCAGATCAGTCAAAAGCCCGCATTCTGTTATATGAAGAATTCTATGTTTAGACCTCCTGGTTTTAACTTTGTGACATCCAAATATTTATTTCGATAAAGAATATACATGTAGCTTTTTACACTTATTAGATGATCTAATAGAGATGCAAACAAAAACAAAAGGTAATCTTAAAATCTGAATTTTAATATTATGTAATGAGGTCTTCAAAATTAGTAATAAGTTGCACATTTTACAAATAAATAGGATTTTTCAAATAGTATTTTTATTATGTTGGATTATAAATCGGAAAAATAAAATGATTTTAATCTTCAAACTCAAATGAATTTTTTTTTATATAAATAGTCTCATGGCAGCTTATTTTGAATTATATTATTTTGTTCTATAAAATGGCATCAGAACCAGCATTAATAACACTAATTCACAGGTTGCAAAACCCTATTCCTCAGTTCGTATTAGGTACACTTCCAATATTGGCAATTATTGGAACAACGCCACATAAAAAGTTATTGCCAAAGTTATTATGGTTTGCGCGATGTCTTGGGTGCCCTTTTTGTGGACTATTTTACTTTTGCTGCATAGAGAGTAATCCCATAGAAATGTGTTCGTACTGGCTTGAAGCCAAGAATTTTTTTATCCGTACTAAGGGTGATAATGACAGCAAAGCAGTCGAGGAAGGAGAAAAAGTCAGAGAACTCATATGGCCTTTTGGGAATAATAGTTGTACTATTAAGCCTACAAAATCGCAGGAAAAAATCATGAATTATTGGATTTCAGAAGCATCATTATTAGATAGGTTGTCAGCATTATCTTCTTTATATTACATATCGGTTGGTATATTCGCTGGAATTTCTAAAGCATTAAGTCTATGTATGGATGATAATTCAGTCGAAGATTGGCCATTTATACCGCTACTATTCATTTGGACACTGCCAGCAATTAATATTAGAATAAAATATGGATTAGTAGTAAACATGGTGGAACCAACAGACTTAAAAGATGAAATAGAAATAGAAAAACATGATTTGGAAAAAAGAAAAACTAGCCGTAATTTCACTGCGATTATTGCTTTTATTTCAATTTTACTTCCATGGTTTGCAGTGATTATAGCTTACTTTGTCCCCCCAGTCGGATTTTTTTGTCGTAGCAAATTTTTGACTATAATATGTACAATTTGGTCTTTGAATTGTATTATTGCATACATAAGTCACGTAATTGGTGAAAAGAATGTGTACGGTCCTGACTCACTTAATATACTATTTACTATTAGTGGTATAGTGATAGCAACAAGTTTAATTTTATTAAGCATATTATCCAACAAAATTTCATTATGGGTAACTTTATTTGGCTCTTCTTGTGACGTTTCATGTCAATTAGATTAATAATTACTTTAATCTAATATAATTGAAACACTGTATAGTAATTCATTACATTAGAAAATGTAGCAAATTCGAATTTTAATCTCGTAACGATCAATTTGAAAATTTTCTCTTGGAGTTGCTTAAATAATACAAATAAAATATTGGTTAAAGTAGAGGTCAGACGGAACTTGAAATATTGGGTAACTGAGTTATAACTAGTTATAGCTTTTTACTTTAAATTACGGCATGCTATAACTTGCGTATATTTCAATATAATACTCAATTTTATATATCGTAACTTCCGTAATCTTTTTTATGTTATAAAATATATTTATTTTTATATATAATGATAAATTTTATTATTAAACAATGTATATTAAATATCAATATATATATTTATTAAAATTTGTTATTCTATTGTTTATTATTATTTTTATTTTTTTCATTTTTTTATTTT